TTAAGAGAATGAAGGGGAAATTTGTAAAAATGAAATCCTTGAATGTGGATTGGAAATCCAGGGGAAGGAAGAACAGGAGGGTAATAAAACTCTTAAGTTCAGTCTGGCACACCAAACTTAAATTTGCAAATTGAATCTGCAAAGGTGTCAGGTTGTATTTCTTTTCCAGAGGAAGTATTAAGTTCACAACCTGAACGCATTTTCTGTGGTAGCAGAATTCCAAGAATTAGGAGTCAGGATAGAAGACATTGACCAAAGATTTATGAATTCATTTTATTTTTTATTATGTTTTATAATTCTAGTTCATATGAACTTGTTAGTCCAGAATTGAAACTCTTATGTCTGGTCAGATCATGAGACAGTGAGACAGTGAACAGTAAATACCTTAGAGAGAGAGAGAGAGAGAGAGAGAGAGAGAGAGAGAGAGAGAGAGAGAAGGAGGGAGGGATGGAGGGAGGAAGGAAGGAAGGAAGGAAGGAAGAAAGGAAGGAGGAAGGGAAGTAGGGAAGGAAGGAAGGAAGGAAGGAAGGAAGGAAGGAAGGAAGAGAGGGAGGAAGGAAGGAAGGAAGGAAGGGAGGAAGGAAGGGAGGGAAGGAAGGAAGGAGAGCGATAACCTTGAAGAAAACATTTCTTTAAAAGATATCTTCGACAGAGGCCCAGCTCTGGGCAACAAAGCTGAACGGCTCCAATTCCAACAGGTACAGCCCGCCCCCAAGGCCTGGGTTCCTCTCTGGGCACGCGCAGCTAGAACCAGCCCCTAGACAGCCGGTTTTCAACCCCTGATCCGCGTGGGACGGGCACAGAGGCCCAGCTCTGGGCAACAAAGCTGAACGGCTCCAATTCCAACAGGTACAGCCCGCCCCCAAGGGCCTGGGTTCCTCTCTGGGCACGCGCAGCTAGAAACAGCCCCTAGACAGCCGGTTTTCAACCCCTGATCTGCGTGGGACGGGCACAGAGGCCCAGCTCTGGGCAACAAAGCTGAACGGCTCCAATTCCAACAGGTACAGCCCGCCCCCAAGGGCCTGGGTTCCTCTCTGGGCACGCGCAGCTAGAAACAGCCCCTAGACAGCCGGTTTTCAACCCCTGATCTGCGTGGGACGGGCACAGAGGCCCAGCTCTGGGCAACAAAGCTGAACGGCTCCAATTCCAACAGGTACAGCCCGCCCCCAAGGCCTGGGTTCCTCTCTGGGCACGCGCAGCTAGAACCAGCCCCTAGACAGCCGGTTTTCAACCCCTGATCCGCGTGGGACGGGCACAGAGGCCCAGCTCTGGGCAACAAAGCGGAACGGCTCCAATTCCAACAGGTACAGCCCGCCCCCAAGGGCCTGGGTTCCTCTCTGGGCACGCGCAGCTAGAAACAGCCCCTAGACAGCCGGTTTTCAACCCCTGATCTGCGTGGGACGGGCACAGAGGCCCAGCTCTGGGCAACAAAGCTGAACGGCTCCAATTCCAACAGGTACAGCCCGCCCCCAAGGGCCTGGGTTCCTCTCTGGGCACGCGCAGCTAGAAACAGCCCCTAGACAGCCGGTTTTCAACCCCTGATCTGCGTGGGATGGGCACAGAGGCCAGCTCTGGGCAACAAAGCTGAACGGCTCCAATTCCAACAGGTACAGCCCGCCCCCAAGGGCCTGGGTTCCTCTCTGGGCACGCGCAGCTAGAAACAGCCCCTAGACAGCCGGTTTTCAACCCCTGATCTGCGTGGGACGGGCACAGAGGCCCAGCTCTGGGCAACAAAGCTGAACGGCTCCAATTCCAACAGGTACAGCCCGCCCCCAAGGGCCTGGGTTCCTCTCTGGGCACGCGCAGCTAGAAACAGCCCCTAGACAGCCGGTTTTCAACCCCTGATCTGCGTGGGACGGGCACAGAGGCCCAGCTCTGGGCAACAAAGCTGAACGGCTCCAATTCCAACAGGTACAGCCCGCCCCCAAGGGCCTGGGTTCCTCTCTGGGCACGCGCAGCTAGAAACAGCCCCTAGACAGCCGGTTTTCAACCCCTGATCTGCGTGGGACGGGCACAGAGGCCCAGCTCTGGGCAACAAAGCTGAACGGCTCCAATTCCAACAGGTACAGCCCGCCCCCAAGGGCCTGGGTTCCTCTCTGGGCACGCGCAGCTAGAAACAGCCCCTAGACAGCCGGTTTTCAACCCCTGATCTGCGTGGGACGGGCACAGAGGCCCAGCTCTGGGCAACAAAGCTGAACGGCTCCAATTCCAAACAGGAGACATTCCCAACTCCTCGCCTAGTGCCAGGGACTCTTTCCGGAGCCGCGGCCGCTGACGCGGCCGCGAAATATTTTCCCACTACATATGCCATAGGAACCATAAGCTAACTTCTTAGATGGAAACTTCTCTATTTTAGCTCAGCCACTAGAAACACAGTTGCCAATAACTCATAAGCCTATCTTAACTCACACTGCATATCAAGCAGAATAGTAACACTGAACGTGAAGGACTAAACCACACCTCTCACAATGGTAAAGCAACGCAAAAGCCCACCAAACTTTCATATTGAAGAGTCTAGCCCAGATGACACCAACAGTACTGTAGTGTTAGACAACCTCTCTGACAAGGAATTCAGAAGGGAGCTACTTAGCATGCTTAGGGAATTAAAAGAAACAATGGAAACCAATGCCAATAGAAGACAAGAGGATCTGAAGGCAGAAATGAGGAAAATGCAATCAGAAATGTCAGACCTGAAAAATCTCGTAGGCGAATTGAAAAGCTCAGTGGAAGGCCTCAGCAGCAGAGTAACAGAGGCTGAGAACAGAATCAGTGAGCTCGAAGATGAAGTTCAGAGACTCTCCAGAAAAGAGCAGAAAATGGAAAAGAGACTCACAATTCGGGAACAGATGGCAAGAGAACATCGCGATGAAGCCAAGAGGGGTAACATAAGAATTATTGGAGTCCCAGAGGGACAGGAAGAAAACCTCGATGAAGAAGAAACTGTCAAAGACATCATTGCTACAACATTTCCAGAGCTGAAGAAAACTTGTGACCACATTCAGGAGGCCCGAAGAGTACCAGCTAGAAGAAATCCGAATAAAAATACCCCAAGACACATTCTGATCAAAATGACCAAAACCTTAGACAGAGACAAAATTCTGAAAGCAGCAAGATCGAAGAAAGAAATCTCTTACAAAGGAGCATCCTTAAAATTCACAGCTGATTTTTCTGATGAAACCCTCATGGCCCGAAAACAGTGGTGGGACATAGTAAAAAAACTCAATGAAATAAATGCCTCCCCCAAAATACTTTTCCCAGCAAGACTCTCATTCATAATAGAAGGAACAACACACAGTTTCACAGACAAACAACAGCTCAGGAACTTCATAGACTCAAAACCATGGTTACAAGAACAACTAAATGGGCTACTTTAAGGCAAGAAAGGCCCCTCAAATACACCAAATTTTAACAGAACAATGGGACAAAATCCCATAACAATAATCTCTCTCAATGTCAATGGGCTAAACGCACCAATTAAAAGACATAGAGTGGCAGGATGGATTAGAAAATTGAACCCAACATTCTGCTGCCTGCAAGAAACGCATCTCAATAGTCAAAGCAAACACAGACTCAGAGTCAAAGGCTGGAAAACAATCCTACAGGCAAACAGCTCCCATAAAAAAGCTGGGGTAGCCATCCTTATATCAGACCACATCGATTTCAGAGTGAGGAAGGTCATAAGAGACAGTGAAGGCCATTTCTTATTGATCAGAGGATCTGTACAACAGGAAGAACTTACAATAATAAATGTATATGCACCTAATGAGAGACCAGCAAAGTACTTAAAACAACTACTCATAGATTTGGAAAAAGACATCAATAGCAACACAATACTAGTGGGAGACTTCAACACTGCTTTGTCACCTCTTGATAGATCAACCAGACTCAAGCTTAGCAAGGACATACTTCATTTGAGGGAAACAATGGAAGAAAGGGACTTAGTAGATATATACAGGACACTTCATCCACAAAAAGCTGAATACACATTCTTCTCAAGCGTACATGGAACATTCTCCAAGATAGACCACATGCTGAGCCACAAAACATGCCTCCATAAAATTAAGAAGGTAGAGATTGTATCAACAATCTTCTCAGACCATAATGCGCTGAAATTAGAAATAAATCACACACAAAAACAGAAAACTAAATCAAACACCTGGAAATTAAACAGTGCACTATTGAACAACGAGTGGCTTAGAAAGGAAATCAAAGAGGAAATCAAAAGATTCCTAGAAACGAATGAAAATGAGAACACGAGTTACCAAAACTTATGGGACACAGCAAAGGCTGTGTTAAGAGGAAAGTTTATAGCTCTACAAGCATTCCTCAGGAAGGAGCAGCGAGCACACATAAGTAACCTAACCTCACAGCTTAAGAGCTTGGAGAAGGACCAAAAAAAGGAGCACAACCCGAACAGGAGAAAGGAAATAATAAAACTCAGAGCAGAGATTAACGAGATGGAAACCCAAAAAACAATCCGAAAGATCAATGAAACCAAAAGCTGGTTCTTTGAGAAAATTAACAAGATCGATAAGCCTCTAGCAAAACTCACAAAGAAAGGGAGAGAGAAAACCCTAATAAACCGAATCAGAAATGAAAAGGGGGTCATTACAACAGAAACCACAGAAATTCAGAGGATCCTCAGGGAGTACTTTGAGAAGCTTTATGCCACGGAACATCAAAACCTCGAGGAAATGGATAAATTCCTAGACTCCTACAGACTCGCAAGGCTGAACCAAGAAGACCTGGAATACCTGAACAGACCTATCACCATCAAGGAAATTGAAATGGTAATAAAAAGTCTCCCCAAGCACAAAAGTCCTGGCCCGGATGGGTTCACTAGTGAATTCTTCCAAATCTTTAAAGAGGACTTACTCCCAATGCTCTTTAAGCTTTTCCACGAAATTGAAATATCAAAAACACTTCCAAACAGTTTCTACGAAGCAAATATCACACTGATACCAAAAGCAGACAGAGATACCACAAAGAAAGAGAATTACAGGCCGATATCCCTGATGAACACAGATGCAAAGATCCTCAACAAACTACTAGCAAATAGAATCCAACTACTCATTAAAAAGATCATACACCATGACCAAGTAGGATTCATCCCAGGGATGCAAGGATGGTTTAACATTCGGAAATCAATCAACATAATCCACCATATCAACAAAAGAAAAGATAAAAAGCATATGATCATATCAATAGATGCAGAGAAAGCATTTGATAAGATCCAGCACCCCTTTATGATGAAAACCCTAGCCAAAATGGGTATAGAGGGGACCTTCCTCAACATAATTAAAGCCATCTACCACAAGCCTACAGCAAGCATCATCCTCAATGGGGAAAAACTGAGAGCCTTCCCTCTAAGATCAGGGACGAGACAGGGATGCCCACTCTCTCCACTGCTGTTCAATATAGTACTGGAAGTACTTGCAATAGCGATTAGGCAGGAAAAAGATATTAAGGGCATTCAGGTAGGAAAGGAAGAAATCAAGCTCTCACTATTCGCAGATGATATGATACTCTACTTAGAGAACCCAATAACTTCCACCAAAAAACTCCTAGAAACAATAGACTCGTATAGTAAAGTTGCAGGTTATAAAATCAATACCCAAAAGTCCATGGCTTTCCTATACGCAAACAGTGAGAGAGAAGAAAGCAACATGAAAAAAACAATCCCATTCACAATTGTGCCCCAGAAAATCAAGTACCTAGGAATCAGCTTAACTAAGGAAGTAAAGGACCTGTACAAAGAAAACTACAAAACGCTACTTCAGGAAATAAAAGAGGACATGAGGAAATGGAAAGATATCCCCTGCTCATGGGTCGGGAGACTTAACATTGTCAAAATGGCGATACTACCGAAAGCATTGTATAAATTCAATGCAATCCCTATAAGGATACCCATGACATTCTTCAAAGAAATGGAGCAAACACTCTTGAAATTTATATGGAACAATAAGCCCCCACGAATAGCTAAAGCAATTCTTGGGAAAAAGAAAATGGGAGGAATCAACCTCCCGAACTTCAAACTGTACTACAAAGCAGTAATAATTAAAACAGCATGGTACTGGAACAAAGGCAGAACTGCAGACCAATGGAACAGGGTTGAATACACTGACATCTCTCCTCAATCATATGCTCATCTAGTCTTTGATAAAGGTGCAAGTAATGTGAAGTGGAGTAAGGAAAGCCTCTTTAATAAATTGTGTTGGCATCACTGGACGGCTACATGCAAAAAAATAGGCTCAGAACTCTGCCTAACACCATGTACAAAAGTAAGATCAAAATGGATTAAAGACCTCAACATCAGACCAGAAACCATAAGGTACATTGAAGATAAAGTTGGCAAAACCCTCCATGACATTGAAGCTAATGGTATCTTCAAAGATGCCACGCCACTGGCCGAGCAAGTGAAAACAGAGATAGATAAATGGGACGATCTTAAACTAAGAAGCTTCTGCACCTCCAAAGAAACAGTGACCAAAATACAAAGACAGTCTACAGAATGGGAAAGGATATTCACCGAATACACATCTGACAAGGGGTTGATATCCAGGATATACAAAATACTGGTTAAACTCCACAAGAAGAAAACATCCAACCCCATCCAAAAATGGGGCAATGAAATGAACAGAAACTTTCTCAAAGAAGAAATCCGAATGGCAAAAAAGCACATGAGAAAATGCTCTACATCATTAATCATCAGGGAGATGCAGATCAAAACCACAATGAGATACCATCTCACACCTCAGAGACTGGCCCACATTCAAAAGAACAAAAGCAACCGATGCTGGCGTGGATGTGGCGAGAAAGGGACACTCCTTCACTGTTGGTGGGAATGTCCACTGGTTCAGCCTTTCTGGAAAACAGTATGGACGATTCTCAGAAAATTACAAATTGAGCTCCCATTTGACCCAGCAATACCACTCCTGGGAATATATCCCAGAGAGGCAAAAATGTATAGTCGAGGTGACATCTGCACTTGTTTGTTCATTGCAGCACTCTTTACAATAGCCAGAAACTGGAAGAAACCTGAATGCCCAAGAATAGATGACTGGTTAAAGAAACTTTGGTACATCTACACAATGGAGTACTATGTAGCTGTTAGAAAAGATGAAGTCATGAAATTTACATACAAGTGGTACAATATGGAAAGTATCATGCTACGCGAAATGAGTCAGAAAGAGAGGGATAGACATAGAAAGATTGCATTCATCTGGGGGATATAAAGTAACAAAGTATGAGATTAATACCCAAGAATAGCTGAGATCAGCACCAGGAGGATTACTCCATAACTTAGAGGCCAGCCGGGTATCCTAGAGGAAAGGGCAGTTCAGATAGAGAAGGGAGCACCAAATAAAGGATGTTTGGAGGATCCTCCCAGGAGGGGAGATGCATGTCGAAAGTAGACTATGGACTGAACATGTTTGCCACTCAATGCCTCTTTTGCAGACCACAACACCCAAAAGGAGAGAGAGAACACAGGGGATTGCCCTGCCACAGAGACAGGGGGGATGGGGGGATGGGGGTGGGAGGGATATTATCCATGGTGGTGGAAAATGGGCACTGGTGGAGGGATGGGTATCTGATCATTGTATAATTGAAACCAAAGCACAAAAAAATTGTAAACCTACAACTTTAAAAAAAAATAAAATAAAATAAAGGGAAAAAAAAAAAAGATATCTTCACTAAGCCAGAAAGTTACTCAATGGGATGGACACATGCTATGCATACAGAAGGCCTGGATTCAATCCCTGGCAATACTTGTTCCTCCCCCCGCCCCAGTACAGCCAGGAGTGACCCCCAAGTGCCGAGTTGGGAGCAGCCCCTAAGCAACAATGGGTGTGGTCCCAAATAAAACACTAACAAAAAAATCCCCCCTTTTCTCTCTCTTACTTCTCTTCTTCCCTCCCTCCTCTTCCCTCTCCTCCTCTCATTATCTTCCCTCATCAGTGGTGGCTTGTAGTGATTCAATTCATAAATGCATTACTATTGGAAAGTATCTCTGGTATCTCTGCCATCTAATTCTGTTAAGAAAGGTCATATTAGAAGGAAACCAATGTGCTCTCTCTCAAGACTGAAATCAGTGTCCACATTATCCCAAATTTTGCCTCCTACCCCACAAAATTTCAAAAATTTTCTTGTAACAAAAACACTAAAGATCATAAATATCCTTCTGTTAACTGGGTTCTGACAATCATTGTTTTCCCATGGTCTTGTCCTGAATTTGTTAGTGTTCTTACTCATTGAAAATTCAAAGACTTGTGCTACCTTCTAGAATAAGAAAGCTTTTCTGAGGAAAGGTAAATGTAGTTGGCTAAGGGAGAGCAATATAGAATCAGCTTTCTGTTTATGGATTTCAAAGTACCTAACATAGAGGGGCTGGAGCAATAGCATAGCCGGTAGGGCGTTTGCCTTGCACGCGGCCCACCCGGGTTCGATTCCCAGCATCCCATATGGTCCCCCAAGCACTGCCAGGAGTGATTCCTGAGTGCAGAGCCAGGAATAACCCCTGAGCATAGGCTGTATGTGACCCCAAAAGCTAAATAAATAAATAAATAAATAAATAAAGTATCTAACATATAAATAATTAATCTGGCAGGGCTTTACAGCAATCTTATGCTCCGAATTGGATAGTCTTGAGACCACGGAATCCTATCTCATGCACCACCCCACCATACAAAGAGGAAGATGAACCACATCTTGTGAACACTGTAGAGTTACTTCTTTTCCTGTACCCGAGATCTTGTCTCTTGGAACGATAATAGTATAGTTTCCTTGAGGAGAGAGAGAGAGAGAGAGTGTGTGTGTGTGAGAGAGAGAGAGAGAGAGAGCGAAAGAGAGCAAGAAGAAGAGGTAGATAGAGAGAGAGAGAAGGAGAAAGAAATGGAGAGAGAGAGAGAGAGCCTGCAGAAAGGAGATGGATTCTACCATCTTGAAACGCTTGAATGGAAGCTATCAGGGTCGCCTCTGTGCTAAGTACTCATCTGAACAGATAAGACAAACAATGACATAGCAGAGGAACTTGTTATTCATGGCAGGTCTGAAGAAAAATGCCTGCTGCTGTTATTACAAAATAAGTCTTTGATAACAGCACATTTTATCTACCTCCCCGGTCACTGCCTCTTCTCTCATGGATTCAGAAAAGAAGTAAAACACGCAGATTTAAGAGAAGAGAGTTTCATTCATTCTGATCACACATTAGTTTTTGCTGTTTTCTTGAAGAATTACCTCTTTTTGGGCCTCTGTGAGTTTCCTAATTTACCTTCTAGGACATAATCTTTTGGAATGGTGGGTCTATCTTTTGGCTATGGGGTTAATATGGTGTTTGTAGTAGTGTCCCATGGAATGCAGAGAGTTTTCTATGAACATTTGTCTCAGAGCTCTTTCCTGTTTTATTCCCTACACAATGTCACAATTCCACACTCAAGCTCTCTAATCTTTCTGAGGAGGCGCTTGGGGGTCACTCTACAGCTCTGTGCTTGAGTGCTATGAGGTGTCAGAACAAATTGGTAAGCATCTAAGTTCTGTGATATCTCTCCAGCTAGCCCCCAAATACACTGATCTCATTTATCAGGATCATGTGCTCCATTTACAAGAACACTGTGCAGTCTTTGCATCCTTTTCCTCCAATCCTTATGTACTTTTAGTTTTTATTTATTTCCTCTCTCCTTGGAATGGTTCTTTAAAGAATGAAGATGGTGGAGGGCCTGGAACAACCAAATACTTACATACCTTTTATCTACTTGGTGCTTAGAACTTGTTCCTAGATGGCCTGAGGGCAGGGGTAGTAACTTGTCATATCAGCGGTTCACAAATTGTTCTGCGTGTGGACAAATGGTCTTGCAAAGATTTGTGGTGACTCTTTTCCCCTTTGAAGGGCAGACATGACTCAGAGTGATATATTTTAAACCTGGACTATGGAGATGATAGCTCAATAAATGCTCTATAAATCATTGAACAACATACTTATAATGGGCAAGTTTTATGATATGTAAGTTGCAAT